AACCTATTTTGTTTAACATTCATCTGATTAAATATGTATGTAATCAAAGCCTCGACCGTTCTTGTGGTCTCCCCTGCCGAGGTCTCACGTCTTGTTGGATTTTATTTATTTATGTATATTATTTATTTATTTTATTTTATTGATATGTATGTATATCTATTATTTTCATTTATATATTTATAAAACTATAACTAAAACTAAAGAAATACTAAAATTAATTAAATAAATATCAAAACAAATATAATTATATTATTTATTTGATTAATATAGTACATTAAAGATAACAAATAGTTGTACATAGTGCAATTGTTTACCACATCTGACATGTGAAACTTATTTAACATAATATATTAAATCATTATTTTTATATGTAAGCAGTCAATATGATATACATAATTAATATCAAATAAAATAAAATAAATTGAAAGTACAATTGTCATATCAATCATTATTATTTTATGACTCTACAAATATAAGTACGTAAAATTTATACTTAATTTAATTTATTTATAAAATTTATATTTAATTTTTTTGTATTTGCACTTTAAATATAAAAAAATTAAAGTGTCAAATGAGAACTTAATCTAATGGGAAATATTTAAGAGCTTTGGTTTAAGCAGCTCGCCCGTGCGTAACAATTAGTAGTTACGCATACTTGTATGTGTAATAAGCACACAAGCGCTCCAAATCAGGCCCGTTATTTTTGTTGCGATTGTAGCGCAACACTCTATCTAGACAGGTATATAATCAAAGCAGATTAGAAATAGCTTGGTAGCGATCACCCTTCCCATAGGTTATTATCATCCATAAATTCCTATATAATAACCCTTTTTATATAAACTTAACTTAGTAATTTTTTTAAACTTTGAGCGGGTTAAATTTTGTTTATTTTCTGGGATTTTGTTGTAAAAGCGTATACATTGCCCCAAGAATGAGTTACTGACTCGGTGGAGTCGAGCCAAGGTAGGGTGAAATTGTCAAAAAAATCCACTACTGTATAATATCGTCCTGTGACTGTCGTATGAGTTATCAGGTGGAAATGAAGCACATAACAACACAAAATAAATAAAAATGCAGTCGCCAATCCATCTACCTAGCGTGGCATCTATGACAAATATCCACACCAATGAGACAATCTAGGGCTGATCTCACAGCACTATTTTTTCTGCTTCCTGTGCTGCCCAAAAACTTAATTTCATTACTGAAAAAGTTTTTGAAGCAGGGAATAGTTCAGGGAATAGCAGGGTCAAAATATCTTCAAATTTAGTGAAAATATTTTTAACTTTTCTGCCATGTAGGTCTTTTTACGATGTTTCCTTCACAAGCGAGCTCTTGGTAATTCAAAACTTTTAGTATGCATGTAGCTTGTACCCACTAGTGGAATATATAAATATGTATATATATTTACCCTTAAATATCATTTGTTTTATTTAGAAAATAATACTATTAACGCTATTTATAATAATATTGTGTAATGTAATGTTACCCACTCTAAATAAGCTTAAAAATAATAGAAAATAAACTAAGAAATTACATAATAAGACTAAGAGTGCTTTACCACAGTAAAATAGTTCCTAACCTACTATTAGACTACTGTCGTATTAGTCGGTATATATATTGTATATAATAAAATAATTAAAAGTTTTAAAAAAGTTAAGAACCGTTTACTCAAGTTTAAGTTGATTAACACACCACAACCACAACCATACAGTCCGGAAAAGGCAATAAACTGCAAGGAAAAATGTTGTGATCAGGAAGTGGGAAGGATATTGCCTCGATATGGAGGAAATGTATAGACAATGAGGGTAAATATTTCGATAACATATTTTTTTTTTCTTAGAAATAAAGGTGCTTGAATATAAAACGGCAAATTTTTACTTAAGCCTTAGAAATACAAGAAAGATAGACGGAGCGCTATGTACATCTCGAGTGATGCTGGAATCACGCGCATCTTGCTGACACGCACACATATTTCTTCTTTATTTTATTATCAGCTCGTAAAAAATAACTGCTGGACACACACATATATACCTTAAATCATAGTAATATTTAGTTGCATAATAATTGTAGATATACTAGATGACCTTTTTTTACCGTCTGGAAAAAAATGTGTGTAACATGTTGTGTACGGAGCCTATGGAACAGATATTTTACGAAAAATAAAAACAAACATTTTGAAGTAAATAATTTAAAATCTATCGAAATTTAAATCATATTCACCCTATACATTACGAACGGCAATAAAACAATAAATTTAGTTGGCATCTTTGACCTTGTCACTTCGTCACAGGCTCAAGGGCAAAGTGCAAAGTAATTGTTTAAAAAAATTGCAAGCGTTTAATTCAAAATTTTTGTTTTTATTTTTTGTAAAATATCTATTCCGTTCACATGTTACACCTTATTTTTTTCCACGGTAGAAAAGGTCATTCAGGAGACATGGCATTGGCTTGGTTTTTGCATCACTTGAAATGTACCGAATGCTCCATCTCTCTTTCTTTGTTGCTCTGAGAATATAACCCCAAATATGTTCTGACTGAGGAAAAGAGCGTAATGTTTTCTGCATCTTAAGACATAAACATATATACATAAACACTCACGCCTGTCACCCAGAGGGGTAGGCAGAGATTACAGACTTCCATTTGGCACGATCCTGACACACCTCTCTCGCCTCCTTCACATCCATATACCAACGCATAAATGCTCGTCGGTTAAGGGTACTCCTAATTTGGCCCGTTTTCAAGAAATCGCCAATTTGGTCGATAAATTTTCGCCTAGGACGTCCCTTTTCGACTCTGCCATTCACTTCTGCAACATAAATTTTCTTTATCACTCTTTCCTCATTCATTCTTTCCACATGACCAAACCACCGAAGCATTTCTTTCTTAATCCTGGTCACAAAATCATCTTACAAACCACACTCTTCTCTTATCACATAATTTCTCACCCTGTCATTCAGATTCAGCCCTAACATACTCCTTAACGACCGCATTTCTACTGCGTTCATTCTACTCTCGTACTTCTTCTGCCACACCTATCTTTCACTACAATACGTTAAAGTAGGGACCAACACAGCATTGTGAATTGTCATACGTGCCTTTTTCGACACATTTTGACTCTTCACAATAGAGTGCAGGGCCCCATTTACTCTATTTCCCGCATTCACTCGTCGTTCTATATCCTTATCATATCTCCCATCCCTGCTAAATACGCAACCCAAATATACAAACTCATCTACTTGCTCGATCAATCATCTTAAGAGTTTGGCAAAAATAAAATAAATTTTAATTCATACATTATTTCGCATTTTTTAAAAATAAATAAATTTTAAAATTAATTTACTAGATACCAAGACATTGTTAAAAAATTATCGTGTTTATTATCGTGATTATTTTTTTGGCCTTCAATTTCGTTACCATGTGGGTGTCCTCAATGCAAGAGTAAAATTTTAATTAATACATAATTTTGGATTTACTTAAGACAAATAAATTTTAAAATTAATTTACTGGATACCGCGAAATTGTTAAAAAATTGTAATATTTATTATCACGATTATTTTTTTGCCCTTCAATTTGGTAACAATGTGGATGTCTTCAAGGCAAGAGTGAATAGGGTTTGGTTAAGTTTTCCTTTGGGTCGAAACCTTTTACTTTTCCATTTTTATTTACATATATAAAATTTATGCTAATTATATATTTGTTTGTTGAAGTAATCCACTTGCGGGCTTTAGCGCGTCGGGTAGTATCGGCTTGTTTTGACAGCGGTGTCAAAGCGGCTTTTCCTCTAAACTTGCGAACTAAAGATAAACTAAGTACCGACTTGAGGCAAATAAAACTATATATATACTGTAAGTGAAGTAGAGTTTTGCTTTGTTTAGCAGCGGGTTTATGAATTGTCGTACACTGATTTTCTCGTGCGGTTTCCAGTGGCGTATGTAAACATATGGGTGTAAACCCTAGTGTTACACAAAGATAATGTTCTATTGTACTGTATTTTTTATACGTAGTAGAGCCATGCTGCAGCTATAATATTGTTGTAGCATGTATGGGTCACGTGAGGACTACGATCTCACAGAGTAAACCGAATCAAATTATCCGTAAATGATGTGAACTGTTTGTAACCCGCTGTACAAAGTTTGGTTTAGATGATTGTGCTTATTACGTCGAAATATTTAAAAACACAAATGGACCTGGCGATTGATATTTGAAGGCATCCACAACTTTTTCTGTCACCAGGTCGGCGCCACTTTCGAATGAGGTGAAATATTTGACAGATTTCGTAGAGGAAAAATTTAAATTGTTAGGAAAATATACGTTTTATATTAATTAGATTAAAGGGAATAAACTAAACTTCGAATATTTCTAAAAGTAAAAGTAATAAAAGAGAGATTTAAATTTGTTAATAGTTAAAATATGCGAAAATTATAGAGCAACCTTTGTGGTATTGTTTTCTATATGTCTATAAGATGGTAAGATAATACTGTGGCTATTATTTCTATGTACATCTACATTTTATTCTCAAAATGCAGATGCATTTATATGTATAAAGTAAAAAAAAACCCCTGAGAATTATGATCCTATATAAAAAACGGAAATTTTCACAGTTGACATTGTTGTTTCAGAAATAACTTCACCTCAGGCCCAACCAGCGACATCTGGTTGGCGGTTGTATCATATCAAAGGAATAGGTAAATACGATAAGTAACGACCTGGTAAATTATGCAGGAAGTCAATGGATGCAGGTGGCTCAGGACCTTGCTTTGTGGCATTCCTTGAGGGAGGGCTATGTCAAACAGTGGATTAGTGATGGATTGTAATCATGATGATGATGTAGCCAAAGTTATATTCTCATTATTCCACTATAAAGTCAGGTTTTTTTGTAGATACGGAAACAAAGGCCAAAAATTTGACTTAGCATCAACTATCTCAACGATGCTCTTTTCTTTCAACTTAAATAGAAAATTATATTGAAAGTGATGCATATGAGATTAATATGGTATCGGAATGATATGGGTTAGTTGATACTCTTACATATTACCCTATGAGTATCGTTAGAGGCGACAGAGAAAACCAAATCAGGTGATGGACGGATGGATGGAGCAGCGTCATCCAATTAACGACTAAAAATAAAAAATGGGGTTGCCGACCTGCTTGCCAAGCGTTGCCAACCCGCTTGCCAAGCGTAGCAACTATGGAAAATATACCCCTATCAGGCAATATATGTGGGAAGCCTAGGCTCAGCAGTGAACTTCAATAGACTGTAACGGTATGATCTCGGGAGCTTAGGATAAGTTAAATTATCTTAAAACAAAAATAATTTCAATTAAGCACAACAAAATCCATCAAATTAGTTTAATTAAATGTCTTTATTGCATTTCGATGTCAACCATATGATAATACATTGTTGCAGTCTACAAATGCCCATTTGTATTTACTTTAATACATACTTTCTTACGTTTAAGTGTAGGCAGAATTTTTTATGAAACTCAAGTGATGGACGGTGACCACCTAATGGTAAGTGGCTACTGAAGTCCATAAACACCTGCAACAAACTTCAAACAAAGAACACCTTTAAAAACAAAAAATTATATGGGTATGGCCTATCTTTCGCCGTCACTACACGCTAAACATTATTTTAGAAGTTTGTTAGTTGTTACTTTCTTTCTTTGTAAATTACCTTCATTACATACACAAAACGAAGAAAACTCCGTAGATATTATGTAAAACGTTGTGTTATAAATAAAATAACTAAGTAACAAAATCTTCTTTTTGCAATTCGAACAAAAATATATGATATTATAGAGCAATATCTTTTTAAACACTGGAACCATTTGTGTGTACAACAGAACAGAATGCAAGTGCCGTATTGAATCAAAGGAATACCGAATGCTTATTTTTTGTAGAAGCGAGTACACAGTCCACCTGATGGATATTGGGGCCCATAGAAATCTACATCTATACTCGAAAAAGAATAAAATTGCAGATGGTTGACAACTGAGATGGAATGTCTCGTTTTAAGTAAAAAGGGTCTCCATCTCCGGCTCTCTACACTCACCTCACAAAACACAGCAGCATTAAAACCGTTATTTTATGCTGGCATTCTGACAGAGCGTGGTCCTACCCCAGTTAAGCTGGACCATTCTTGCTGCAACCATAATACTTATTTGCAGCGTGGCTCTACCGCGTGAAATATTTTTGTAGGTAATTTTCATGAAAGCACGTTTACTACCTTTTAATACTTATGCAAGGTATCTTTTATTGGAAGTTACCTTCAGAAATATTTTATACTATTAATAATAGGTAAAAGTTTTAACCTTAGATTAAGGTCCAAACTGTAAAAACTAAGATATTAGGTACTATAATATGAAAGTAATAAGGACTTTACCCAAAAAAGAGTAATTAACTAAGGTAACTCAAATTTAACCCAAATAAATGTAGGATAATTCATTAATTTATTTATTACAGCTATGCCTCACGGAGGGAAATTTACCATAATTGCCACGCTCGGCGACAAATCAAAGACGGAGTTCTCCTTTCATACTACGTGTTTCATACTATGTGTTGAATTCCTCGGATATTATATTAGGTCATATGCATCCAGTCATTCACGTGTTACAGCAGCCCACAGCTGAACACAGCCTTTCCCGTAGATTGCCTCACAAGTGAGGTAGCTTAGACAAAGTTTCAGATACAGATTTTATTTTCTAGTTTTTAAGAGGAAGATCTTGATAACAGCTGAATAAAAAAGTGTAGGTTACGATGTGTGGCAACTATGTCAAAATCCACCCTATGAGATAAATCTATGGAGGAGGCCTATGTTCAGCAGTGGACTTTTGTAAGCTGTAATAGATGAGGCACAGTGCTGCCCACCTCTTGGTTTGTTGCCTTCTGTCGTCTCTTACGACGCGCACGGAACAATTTGTAGTAATTGTAGCGGTATGGAAGGAAAAGGGAGATCTCCCGCCGGGCAAGGCATTATGCCCGGGGAGCGGCCAACGCTCCAAGTGATAGTTCGGAGAAGTTCTATATATACTGTCTATGATTCGGAATGTTGATAGCGTGATTTAAGCTTCGGTGTATTTCGCTTGTGGCGCGACGACAGCGCCGCTACATCACCCCCTGCTCAGACCGGAGGTCGATAGTGCAGCCTCGTTGCCGACGAATGTGCAAGTGCCAGGAGATTGCCTTGTAGTCTGCGGTGAGTCGAGAAGAAGGCAAGTAATCTGCGAGAGTGCCGTGAAGCAGAGGCGAGCAGTAAGGCTCAGAGCCGTGCCGAACACTGTATAGCGCAGAGAGTAGCTTGAAGGAACAGGAAGCATTATTATTCCAGTGCTGCGATGAACCTTGTGAAGCTAGATGGCTTGCAGGATATGAAGACTGCAGTTTATATCTGCTCGGGAGCGAATGGGTGGGGTATTCTATGACGATGATGAAGCTCGAAGTTTCCGAAGGTTGCTTGGTTGCGTGTTCAAGATCACGTCGGGGTCACCACTGTAGCGGTATGGAAGGAAAAGGGGAGATCTCCCGCCGGGCAAGGCATTATGCCCGGGGAGCGGCCAACGCTCCAAGTGATAGTTCGGAGAAGTTCTATATATACTGTCTATGATTCGGAATGTTGATAGCGTGATTTAAGCTTCGGTGTATTTCGCTTGTGGCGCGACGACAGCGCCGCTACATAATGAATATTTTTACAAAGTCACTACACTGTCCTGATGTGTCAAATATTGGGTTCCAAACCCTGTGTTAACTTGTTTCTTACACAAAATCACGTTTACATTTGATTTATTTGTTAAAACCGCATGCACTCGAAGTTAACACACTGTTTTACTACAAAAAAAGTTAGGACATCTGTTCAACACGTGTTTATCAAATGAGTTACTACGAAAGAGTGTTTAACGGTGGTTTATGGATAGGCACGGCTTAGACGTTGTTTAAATATAAACAGCCGAAAACCCTTGTTTAACTAGTGTCTAACCAATCTTTTCCGTCAGTTCAGTATTTTTATTTAACATGGATATAATTGATTTTGTTGATTACTTCGATGAAGACGACATGGATAACTATGCGGAAATGTTCCGAGAAAGTAATACGGTTCGTGTGAGGGTTAATCCGTTTGAAAAATATGACGACACTAAGTTTAAGAAAAAATATAGGTTCAGCAAACTTTTTGCTAGAAAAATATTAGATCTTGTGAAAGACGATATACCGAGTGATTCTCGTGGTAACACGATAGATCCAGCCGTGTAAGTGGCTTGTGCATTACGGTACTGGGCTCGTCATCAAGTAAGTTCGATTCATACAAAATTAAACTATGCTTACGTGTGGCGACGGTAGAGAAGAATAGTTTTACCCATCATCCTGTTATGTTTACTTATTATTTGCAATTTTATTTCAGATTCAAGATGACAGTGGAGATATGCACGGAATTTCTAAGCAATCAGTGAGCAAAATCGCTCATAATGTTGGGAAAGCATTAGCTAAAAAAAGCTCATTTATTCATAACAAGCCCACTGCACTAGAAGATCAACAGGAAACTATCAGAGGATTTAGAAGTATATGTAATTTCCCCTCGGTGATAGGGGCTATAGACTGCACGCATATACTAGTCAAAAGGGTAGGTGGCGATATGAGTGAAGCCTATGTGAACAGAAAGGGAGAAGATTACTATTCTATCAACGTGCAAGTTGTCTGTGATTCAAACTTGAAAATCAGAGACATAGTTGCACGTTGGATAGAAGTGTTCACGACTTTCGAGTTTTCAACGAAAGCACAATAAAGGAACGCTTTGAACGTGGCGATTTTCATGGAAGATTACTTGGAGACAGTGGATATGCATGTACTGCATATCTCTTTACACATTTGCTTAATCCTAGTAATGACAAAGAGGAAGCTTACAACAAGCTCACATTTGAACAAGGAATACAGTGGAGAGATATTTTGGTTTGTGGAAACAAAGATTCAGATGCCTATTAAGAGGCATGTTTATGAAACTAAGCACAGCGAAAACCACAATTGTAGCATTAGCAGTGCTACTTAACATAGCGATTGATATGAATGAAGACATTGATATAGTTCGGTACGTCCGTCAGCGGCGCGGGCCACAGACTGTGAGATCTACAGTTAGAGGAGCAATTATTAGACAGCGTTTTATCAATCAAAAATTTTAATATAAGAAACAAAATTTTAAAAAAATATAAAATTAGTCCTTATATTGTAGTTTTTTTTAAACAATTCTAATTCCAACTTCTTTTTGTTTTTTTTTCTAATAATAATATGTCGATTTCCAGTTTATGCCGCAACTGCTGATGAGCTATTTCTTGTTCTTGAAATTTTATTTTTAATTTATGTTCTTCTCCCAACATTGCTGAAGCCCGTTCCTTAAATTCTATATTGCTTCTTAATAAACCTTCCTTGCCAGCCCTGTAACAGACATGATTTACTTATTTAATTAAAAACCGTTAGGCTCAACCAGATGTTAGGCACCTATTTACTAAGTAGATAGTACCATTTTAATGTTCTTTGTGTAATGTATGGTATTTATGAGAAAATAAATGATTTATACATTTATTTTTTTATATTATATATTATTATATACATACAATAATGCCTTTTTCCTCATAATTCTCCTAATTATGGTTGTTCATAGATACAACACGACAGTGTCACATGTACATGTACAAAACATAAAAATATGGTAAAGTAGATCATAAAAATTATATACAATTAATCTACTTACAACTTGTTTGTTTTCTTTTCTCTATTTTGTTTCTTATCCACCTTTGGAGGAAACACCATTTGTGTTTTTCTGCTGCATTTAGGAATCTTGATATCAATCTGAGTGAATAATGATTTTCATTAAGTTTTATTTATAATTATAAATAATAATAAAAAAATTATAACTATATTTGTTCTGCGTTGTAGAGCCATACTGCAGTTATATTAGTAGTATAGTCGTAGCACGAATGGGACGGCTCGACCGAGGAAGGACCACACTCTCACAGAATACCAGCGTGAAATAGTAGCTTAATGCTGCTGTGTTTCGTATGGTGAGTGTAGAGAACCGGAGACCCTTTTTTGCTAGAAAAGAGGCGTTCCATCTTAGTCTTCACGGGTGAAAACGCATCTGCATTTGATGAATCGCATACAAGGATAGATGTAGATGGCTATGGATGGCGTTAAACACTTACCATCAGTTGGACTGTGTGCTCGTTTGTCACCCTATCCTGTAAAAAAATATCGGTATGAAGCACCAAATTTTTTCAGGTAAACTCACCTCTTCGCTGTGCACATTTGCCACCGTAATCATTGCTGTACAGCTGGTTCCTCTGCTGGTAGAATTTCATCCTTTGGGAAGAAAAGATTTATTTATTTATTTAAAAAAATGAGTAATAACTTATTTAATCTAAAACTAATAATATTCATACATGCCTCGTCTATATCATATAATGTGTTGTTTTGCTCTTCAGTTCCTCCAATAACTATAACTTCACCCTGTAAATTAATAAAAGTTAATAAAGCAAAGTTGCATCATTATATTTGGTACATACAATTCAAAACTTACGTGTTATGAGATCGCATCCCTGTCATAAAGATTTTCTTCTATAACAAAATCTGTTGGGCAGAGTTCCATTTTCTTTAGGTGATCATCATCTGGAGATGTTGGCCTTTGTCGGTGGAGGTCGTGACCTCGTCACATCACAGTTGTTATAGTCAAACACTAATTTATCACTATGTCTACTTGACGACCACGAAGATGTTGTTCAATATGTCCACCTTGTACCTCTATACATTTGTGACACCGACTTATAATGTCTGAACGCACGCGTTGCAACAGACATTTTGGACTTTATTTTTTCAAAGGCTGCGACGCATACGCATTTCTGCCTCGGTATCGCATGTTTTTTGGAATACAGTCTGCTTAATCGTACCCCAGAGATAAAAATCTAAAGGTGTGAGATCAGGTGATCGTGCCGGCCAGTTGACCGGTCCACCGCGGCTAATCCATCTTTCACCGAACTCAGTATCCAAAAAACTTCTTACACAACGGGATAAATGCGGTGGAGCACCATCGTGTTGAAACCACATGCGACGAACGAGGTCTAAATTTATTTCGTCAAGTTCATTGCTTAGTTCTTCTCGCAAAAAACGTCCGTAGTTTTCACCGCTCATTGTGTGGTCTAGGAAATACGGACCAATAATTTTGTCACCTATAATTCCCGCCCACACATTGATTTTCCATCGGTGTTGAAAGGGGCTTGGTTTATACGAATGCGGATTTGTCGTTGACAATACGTGTTCATTATGAGCATTAAATACACATGTTCTTACAAAAGAGCATCCATCTGTAAAAAGTCCGCGGTTCAAGAATCTCCTTCAACCGTATCGAGTAACCATCTACAGTAATCCATTCTCAGCTCGTAGTCGTTAGGAAGAAGACACTGAACTCGAAGATAATGATATGGGTGCTGGCCATCTTTTTTGAGGGCTCTCCAAACGCGCATATGGTTCACACCTAGTTCACGTGCCACCGAGCGCGTGCACCGCGTCGCATCTTCCTCAAACATGTCGTGAATGTGCTCCTCGATGTCGTCGTCGTACACCCTCGGTCTTTCTGAATCTGTACGTTGTTGATGTACGGCCATGCACACTGCCAGTATTGTACATACGAATGTGAAGTCGTTGGAACGTCATTGCCGACGGCAATTGTACATTTCGTGAAGTAGCAAAGCACTCCCCGTAAAGTCTTCGTGCTGCTGCATAATTGCAGTTACATTTCCCGAGACACATCAACATATTAAAATATATAATAATTTTGTTTTGTTTATTATATTTAGCAATAAACGACAATATGAATTTATTTAAAAAAATTATTACTACCTACTACATAAATTCTTTATCGAATAATATTTCATATGAAAAATACATACTAAATTTCTCCTACAAATAGTTGCAAATTTGGAATTAATCACGATATTTAGCAAAAAAGTGGAAATTTATAACATAAGTATTCAAATGATACTTATAATATACATAATGATACTAGATGCATAGTTGTAGCACGAATGGGTCGGCTCGACCGGGGAAGGACCACGCTCTCACAGAATACCAGCGTGAAATGGTTGCTTAATGCTGCTGTATTTCGTATGGTGAGTGTAGAGAATCGGAGAACCTTTTTACTGGAAATGAGGCATTCCATCTTAGTCCTCACGGGTGACAACGCATCTGCATTTTGATTTGTAATCGAGGATAGATGTAGATGTCTTTGGGCCACAGCAACCACTTACCATCAGGTGGACTGTGTGCTTGTTTGTCTCCTTATACTATAAAAAAATATTATGTGTATTGGTGTTGAAATAATAACCATTTCATTATAATTTCTATTATTTTGAAATTAAAATATTCTGAGAATAACTGAGTCTAGATAGGTATAAAGCTTTACACAAAAATCTTGGGGAAGCACGCGCCGCTTAGCGGCTTGCTTTGAGTCGCCCATGTCAGTGACCTCATATCAGCCGTAGACTATTATTTATTCTGTGACGTAAATAATATTATGTCGGCACGTGTCGGGAAGTTCAGAAGCAAATAACATTTTTAGAAATTTAATATTTCTTAAGTTATCTTATTAGAAACCTAAAAACCCCGTTTAAAGCAACCAAAAAATTTTTCATTATCATAATTACCATGCCTATGTGTACACCTATACGTCCCTGAAACGACCAACAGGGTTTTTGTTACATACTGTATATATACCCCATATTATAATTCCGTAGCGAAGAATAAACTCTACGTATGCGTGGTACGTTGCAATTGCCGTCTTAATATTTGTAATGTTTTTAACGATTTTAAGGGCATATACAAATTTATTGATTCTACGGCATACGTCATCTTTGTCTTTCCAGTTTATATCTTCATCTATTAAATTTTATGTAATGAGATTTATCTATATTAAATTTCAAATTATTTACGTTAAGCCATTCTATTAATTTGTCAACTCAATTTTTATTGTTACGAGCTTGAGGTTCGTGACAATAAAAATTGCCGATAAAATTACCTAAATTAAGACTTTAATTTTCTTTGCACAAATTAAAACTTAAAACACTAATAATTAATCACACTGATTCACTTTATTCCGCTACGAAGCTTCGCTTGTCTCGCCAAATCAACACTTCCCGATCGCATCTTGCAGCGCCTATTTATATAAATTAGCAGCGAAATATCCAGAATATTCAAGTAAACACGCGCAAGGTACCGAGAGTTCGTGTTTCAACTTCAAGAAGTTTAGTTCTTCGGTTCGAGACTAGATGGCGCTAGTGCCGTCGACTTGAGCACGTAACACGGTGCTGTTGGCCGCACTACCCTCCTGAGATCGTTCACCTTCCCTTTCTACGGTTAGCTTAGGGCAGCTGGATCGAAGATGGCCCCTTTCCCCACAGCCATAGCACCTAGGGCTGTATCCTTTATTGCGGTCGCGAACCGTAGCTGCTGCAACCTCCCTGACGCGATGGGAGCGAAGATCCTGCCGCACGGCTTCCACCTCCAGTGCATGGGCCAAGGCGTCCTTAAGCGTCTCGTGGTGCCCGAGCCTCACAGCAGCTCTGACTTCAAGGTCGCGGATTCCGTCGATGAATGTCTGAACCAGGTTCCCTTCAATGAGCGCAGGTACAGACTGGTATGCTTTTCGAACCATCTTCTCTACATCAAAGGCCCGCTGCTGCAGGTTTTCGTTGATGCGTTGCACGCGATCTTTAAGCTGCGCGCGAAAGACGTGTTCCAGGTGAGCGTCACCATATCTCGCCTCCAATGCCTCAAGGAGCTGCTCGTAGGTCACTTTCCTACCGAGAGCGTCCAACACAGTTAAGGCTTGGTTGCGCAGGCATAAGGTGAGTGCAGTCATGGCCTGGATTTTATTCCAGCCGTTTGCCTCCATGACGGCCTCGAACTGTATTTTGTAGGCCGACCAGGAAGAAGTCCCGTCGAACGGTGGTACCTTGAACCAACGTAGCGATGGTGTAGTAGCTACTGCGGGGGCTGCAATTCCATCTCCAAGTCTGAGTTCATCCAGCGTTTTCTTAACTTGGTTGATTTGGGTCTCAGCTTCCGACAGGCGGTTATCATGTTGAGCAACATGGTGAGAAGGTAGCGTGAAGGTCCTTCATGAGGAGCATCTGCTCTTCCCTATCGCGTTTGAGCTGCTCTTCCAAGCGACGGGCCTGTTCCTCCTGTCTGCTCTTTCAACTGACTGGCCTGTTCCTCCTGTCCGCGCTTCAGCTGCTCTTCGAACCGCCTGTTCCTGCAGCATCACCATCAGAGCGCCTAAATCAGGTGCTGCAGATGCAGGAGCTACTGACGGACCGGCCTCAGCTGCCGGCGGCTGGCCCTCCGACGTCTGCGGCGTTGCACCACCAAATCTTCTCTGGTCCGTCTCATGCTGGCGTTGACTGCGGGTACGAACACCCTCCGTTTCCTCCTTAGGTAAAATCGGCATGGTTTTATCCCACTTCTGACGCCAATTGTTACTAGCTTGAGGTTCGTGACAATAAAAATAGCCGATAGAATTACCTAAATTAACACTTTAATTCACTTTACACTAATTAAAGTTAAAAACACTAATAATTAATCACACTGATTCACTTTATTCCGCTCCGAAGGTTCGCTTGTCTCGCCAACTTCAATACTTCCCCGATCGCGTATTGCAGCGCCTTTATATAGGGCACTTCCACGAATACATCCCAATAATATTCAAGTAAATACGCGCGCCAACCGACCAAGCGCAGAAAGTTCGAGTGTGCGGCTTCCAGAAAGCTTAATTCTTCTGTTCGATACTAGATGGCGCTGTTGGTTGAAAGACTAGTCATGTATTTTCTGGAAAGCTCTCCTCGCTCTGTTGCCCGATACCAGATGGCGCTAGTGCCATCGTCTTATTCGCGCAACAATACCGTCTACACTCCTTATAATTTTCTTTGCGTGGAATAGGATTCATCGGATAACTCGTTCTCGGTGAATAAGTGTGAGTCCATTGTCTGAGAGAAAAACGTATTTTGAGGTGTAGATTGTGAAATCTCGGTAATATTTTGTACAGATGACAATTCTTTTAGAGTGTTTTCTTTTTTCGTATAGTATTTTTTTTTAATGAATTAGTTATTTATATGTTATTTTATTGCATGTATGGATTTTATATTAGGTATATTTATATTGCACCACCTACCTAGTATTCACTGTTCTATTCCTTTATACCTTTGGTTGCCTGGAAGAGATCGCTATGTAGCGATAAGGCCGCCAAATTGTACATGTAATCTGCTCTTTGTT